TGGTTTTACTGGCGCCTTTCCTTACTTCAGCAAGGATCGAGAACTCTTGGTCACTAAGCCCAATAGGCCCAAGATGGCCTCCAATCACCACATCTCCCACCAGTCCTTCTCTGTTTGTGAACAGCAGGTCGAGCAAGGCACCTCCCCTGGTAGACTCGCTTACCAGCTGTGTCCTCCAAGAATCTCCTAGACTGTTTCCTTTCTGCTGTGTTGTATTTCCAGCAGATGTCTGGCAGGTTGAAGTCTCCCACAAGAACAAGTGGGAGCGATAGCGAGACTTCTGCCAGCTGCTTATAGAATGCCTCATTGGCTTCCTCCTGCTGGGAGGGTGGCCTATAACACACCTATAGAAAAGGTCTAGAGTAATAGAGAAAGCTTTTAAAAACAAAATTTTAAATTGTAAGAATGCTTAAAAAGGACTGGCCAAGCCAATGAAATGAATAGGTTTCCTCCAGCTTGCACTCAAACTGAAAAGCTCGTGAAAAGAGAACTCAGAAGGGAAGCACAGTATTTTTCATCTCACATGCCTCTTAAGGCAGCTAATTTCTCAGGCTTTTTTTTCGTGGGTGACTATTTATTCAAAGGTGGATTCAGAGGCAGGGCAAAATGATACCCAGAAGAACATAAGCTTTCATTTTCACTGAGCTTCACTGCTTTAGGTCAACTGCCTGCTTCTTCAGAAAATGGAACCTTTTGGCATTTGTCAGTAGGCTCAAATATCTTGAAATGCTGAAAAGGTGAAACAAAAAACTTTCCCTATGCTGCTTTCCTGTCTGATCTTTTGTCTCATATGTTCCCCTCAGGGATGCACGTGAAATTTATCTGAATAATTCATAAGCACCTAGGCAAAAAACAGCTTCTACTTCTGAACAAAAAGATTGCGTAAGAAGCTGATTGCAGCTGTTCTAGTCTGCTCTACCTGGAAGAAAACTGGATTAAAAAAAGAAAGTAATTTTGCTAACACGGTGAACACAGAGTATATTACATGTATGCATATATGAAGTATTTAAACATACTTCTGCATTTATGCTGGGGAAGGCATGTTTGTACTTAAAGCTACATTGTCCTTGGAGGGCAAGACTGATTCTCTACCTTTCAAAAATCCAAGAAATCACATAGCATGAAGGTAATCAATCAACATGTGGAATTCAATGTTTAGTTTTTTAGACTACAGTATCCAACTCTTCTCTTACCATGAGCCACCTTTATTTCCCAACAGCACTGAACACTAGGCAGATGCAAATGATTTATTTTTCTGTAGTCTCTGCTAGGACTGAAGTAGTCTTATTGCCTGCAGATGCTTTTTATGTCCCAACATACATAGAAGAGAGAATAAAAAGCCAAAAAATATTTCTTCCAAAGCTATTTTGCTAATAAGAATATAGATCCAAAACTCATAAGCTATGGGTTACCCACACTAAGTTAAGATTTCACAATACAATATCATAAGTTGAGACAAAAGTACTTGTGAACGCGGTTCTCAAGACTTACCAGCCTCTGCATGCTTTTTACATGGGTAGGACTAATAGATAAGGCCTCTTCATACCAGCGTTTGGCTTCATCAATATTTCCACGAAGTTCAGCCACCTGACCTCTCATATAGAGAACATAGTGCGACATCGGGAAGAGATTAGCTGCTTCCTGGGTACATGCTGTGGCCTCAGCAGGCTTTCCAATTCCTATGTAGACTTCAGCTGCAGAAGGAATGCGAGGACCAATGAATGGTTCTTGCTTCATCATACCATGACTAGATATTGTCTCATGTGTTGTATTTAAAAATAATTTCATTCTAAGCAAAGCCTATTTTCCTCAAAAAATTTTCCAGTTCAAGATAAATTATTACAGAAATTATTTTAAACGAATTATTGCTTTAGGAAAGTTGCTTTTCTAAATGTAATAGGAGTTTGAACCTCTAATTGGTTGTTTTAAACAACAGAAAATTCTTTATAGTTTGTTATTTTTAACTGAAGTCTGGGGTTTTTTCGTTTTAGATTTATTTTTAAGATGTGAACATGCCAGTATTCCAGTACTATTTAATAACAGAAAAAACAACACAAAACAGCACACAGAGATCCTTACAGTAGGTAAGGGAACACAACTAATTGTGGAGTTTTCTGAATTTTACACGTCAGCTGTTAAGGAAGCAGTAGTAATTGTTCCAGCTACCAATCACTAAACGGGAAGCCTGGTTCTAAGTTTCCTACTTCAGAACATTTTAAAAGAAAAGTTTCCTTGTTAAGTTAGCAGAACACATGAAATGCTTAATAAGCATTCTGATTTGACAAAATTTGTTCACATATCCAAGCATTTTACCTAAGATAACCTCCAGAAGCTAAGAACATTTAACTCTTTAGCTTTAAAAAAAATCATCTGCATTTAATTTAACATAAATCACTTCTGACAAAAGCAGTCAAGTAGCCTGCCACACACTTGTCTAAATCAAATTGACTATAGGGGAAAAAAGGTTAATTCAGTAAGTGATTAACAACTAACAACAGAAGAAGTATTTGCCTTCAATAGCTCTTATGACACTCTTCAACACTACTATTTCACTACCCTGCTTGATTAGCTTAATCTCTTGCTGAAAGAGTGGGAGAAGAGAGGAATAAAGAGATACTAAATGCAAGAAAAAGATATTAAAGGTTCTGAGTTGGGTTATCTATTTCTTATACGTTGGTATAAACCCTAGAAAAATTGAGCCTCAAAGTAACTGTATAACTATTATATCATACTGTAATCTTACAGATTAAGGTTTAAATCAAAATGCTCCATCAAAACAGCAAAGTGATCTATCTCTGTTCAAGACATGCTTCTCACTGCACAGTACAGGCCACCCCTCTTGGTTTAAAGGCCATCAGATCAGGATCTCACACTACAGTAGTGGATTTGGGGTTATGCCTAAAACCCTGAATGGGACTGATGTACGAGTGCCTTTAAAGGAGCTCTCTTCCAAGATAAGTATTTTTAGAAACTAATGAAATGCTTTTTGATGGAAAAATGTCTCATCCACATGAAGAACTAACACATGAAATTGCAGATCCAGCAACACTTTTTCCCCCTAACCCTAAAAGAACCACCTCACCTAGTCAGAGATGGCACTGTATAACTAAATAATAGCAAACTTTGAAGACAATGAAGGGATAACATTTTGAAATAAAAATCTAAATTTCAGAGAAATTACATTTTTCTGTGATTTTTTGGATTTTGCTTTTACCAACAGTTGGTAGAATCCAAAGAGCAAGTTGTAGCCGTATTTTGAGAGCTGGATATACAGCATAAAATGTGAATTGTATTGAGAAGTTTGTTGTTGGGTTTTTTGTTTTTGTTTTTGGTTTTTTTTTAACTGAAATATTTTGGAAAAGCTTTGAGTACTTCATTCTGGAGTGCTTTTCTAAAAGCTACATGGTCAATATTACTATGTAAGAAACAAGGTTTTTGTGAGTATAAAATACACTAAATTAGTTAAATGCTAACCATTTGAGCTCTCCTGCTTTTATTGTCTCTTCTCCAGCATTATCAGATTTGAAACACAATTTTAAATGCACACTCCCTAGTTGCTCAGTGAAAAGACAGTTTGGAAAAATATAATTTACATACACTGTTAAAAGGTGCAAAGTAAAAGCTATAATTATTAGCAAATAACATGCAGAAACTAAAAATTACTTGTAGGTGATTATCTACTACCACAATAATTCTAGACTGAAAAATAAGCAGGGATGGGCAAAATTAACAGACTGCAGTTGCAATTTTGTGTTCTTTGAGATGAAACAAGTATGGTAGCAATGGCTTTTAACACTAGCCCATAGAGGCTCGAATACTGCTTATAAATTAGTCTTACGTTCCTGTAAGAGATACTAATTCTTGCTGTCCTACTGACTAAACGCAGCAGAGAAACTTGACTGTTACTAACAGACCTTCCTAAAATATTAAATTAAAAAAAATCCCTTTATGTTTAAAGTTATTATAGAGTTATTTTAGAAATAACTTCTCCTTTTCTCTACCAGAAGTTATGACACCCCAATAGAATACACAGCACACTTTTTGAAAAACTATGAAAAAATGAATATCAAGTAAATTTGTGGCTACGTGTCAAGCATGAAAGTTCATTCAAGAAATTTCTGAACCTTAAGGAGAGCTGTTCATCCTGAATAAGGACTCAAAACTGAATAAAAATGATAAAAATCATCATGGCATATTCAAATATATCAGTTGTGGAGAACTGACAAGTGCCAGCAGTCTTTGTAGGAAAACCTCAGAGACTAGAAGCAGTTTGAAGAGAAACCGGGTGCCAAGTCTGACGGGCTCTTCTCAATGTCTCTGCCTAGAGAACGTCAAGAATGCCTGCTGGCTCAAACTATTCCAATGCATTCGCTTGCATTTTATTGAGAAATCTATCTATTTTCCATTCAAGCTGTATAACAATATTGAGTTCAGTACTGATACATTTCTCAAGGGACCATCATAGCCTTTGATCATTTAGGATTAGGTCTGGTTTTTAATAGTGACTTACTGGACAAAGTACTAATTCCAAAAGTCACTTTGTTTCACATTTAAAATAAGCCTGTTCTTACACCTTAGATTGTATGCCCAGAAATGCAAGGCTGAAACAGTCCATTAATAACGACAAAATTAAAAACTACATCAACTTCTTTGGAATGAATGCCATGCTCATTTACACTAATGACAGCTGGAATGAAATGCAAGGCTGAAACAGTCCATTAATAATGACAAAATTAAAAACTAAATCAACTTCTTTGGAATGAATGCCATGCCCATTTACACTAATGACAGCTGGAATTACACTGTATATCTAGAAGAACAAACATTTTCTCTATTTTTCACGTCATATATATTAGTTCGGGTAAATATACTCCACTAGGTTTTGCATGTTATTAGAACTTACTTAACTTTGTAATCTATCATGAAGAATAAGTCTCAATTTTTACATTTTAAGATTTCAAGCTCGTTAAAGATTCCACATCCACCTCCCTTCCCCTCCTCCCCCCAGCCCAAGATGTAAATCACTGCACAACCATACATGGAGTCAAACAGTTAAATGTGGCATAAGCCTCAAAAGGGAATTAATCTCTCAATGGTAAATCTTCACTGTTATTTCAAGAACATGTGCTGTAAGTAAGGCGTTAAGTAATTTTATGGCTGTTTTCTATGCAAGTAGCCCCTGTATACTGATGAAGATACCTTCCAGAATATCTGCTTTGTATTGTTCTAGGAGAAAACTTTATTCCAAATGTTCCTGCAGTAAAGAGCCTTTCTCAAGTCTCAGGACATTTAGCTGAATAGCAGGATGCCTAAACACTCTGAAACGCAGCACAGATCACGAGCTTGAAGTATCAAGATCATTCCAAAGTGAGGAAGAAGTAGACTTCAGGTTGCAGCACCTTCTCTGAAGGCAGACAGCAGTTCTCTTTCTTCTTTTTTTTTCTTTCACTGCTCTCCATACAGTGTCAGAGCACTCTTCATACTTTGTTGCATCCTTCCCCTGGATCTTAAACACCTTAGTTCATTCTCCAACCCAACTCTCTCCTACTTCCCTCCCACGCTTCCTCCTGCTGGGAATCAAGAACATGACCTACAGACCACGCTTGCCGAGAGAGATATTTTTAAGAGTGGAAAGTGGACTGTGCAGCAGACTGCAGCAGCAGACCACCAACGTGGACGCAAAACCAAATAAGCTGTGAACTAAAAGGAATCAGCAAAGAGTGTCCAGACCCCTTCTTTGTGGGTAAAACCATAGCAGGACTTGCATGGACTGGATAAGCAGCAACAGGACATGACCAACAAAAATTAAGACAGAAAACAAGCAGTGGAACAAGCCATCACAGAATGCTGAGAAATTATCAGCATTATAGATGCCAAGAGTTACTGCAGATGGTCATCTGTGTTGGTTTATAAATATTTAAAAATCAATGATGCCATGATGCAAGGCAGGTAACCACACTGTGCCATAGTGGACCTTGCTTGTTCTAATCTGTGTTGCTTTCAAGGAGCCCTTCCGCTCCCAAATGAGATCACTACTATTAATCACTATCGTTCATTCTTTCTTTCCAACCTTCCAGGCTTTTTCTCATTAATCACATTAATTAATAACTGGGAGCCATTGCCTTGTAATGACTTTCACACAATAAAGCTGTTAATGCAAAACAGGTAAATTAAACCGCTAAGAAATACAGCGCTGTTTTGCTGAATGTAAACATTTAGAAAAAAAAAAATTATGTCACTGAGAAATGCTCAATGTGGCGAGCAGACCAAAGCAGAGCAATTGCTGACTGATTTCTAATTTCTGATTTCTTTCTGATGCAAGCATCAATAGAAACAATTGCACTGTACACATTTTCAACTGTGTAAAAACACACTGGATCATAATTTTCTGGTTAAAATTTTATATAACAGCCACTTGTGATATTGCATTTGGCTTGAGGATTGAAGCAGTATAACAATGCTAAATCCACTCAAGATGACTCCACATTTAGAAAAACAATCCTGGGTCTTCTGCATTAATGAAGCGAGAAGGAAGAGAACTGAATGAGAGCTCATTATCACAGCTGCAAGGAACAAGTTGCTCAATAGTACTGCTACCCTTTTTTTCCACATATGCAGGTATTTATTTGCAATGATAAAGCTTTTCTACTTGCAGGAACTCTATCCAATAATCTTACAAACATATTTTTCCAACTAATGGAATTAGGGCATCTAAATTTCCAAATACTAAAATACTCGAGGTACTTCAGAAATTAAAATATTTCACGGATAAGGGAGAGAGTGATGCCTTTGTTCTACAGAAGATACGACTCTACTGATAACAGCTGCATTATAGAACCGCTGCCTTATCCTACAAAAATGATCTTATACATGAGCAACTTTAATGCTCTTTTTTTTTTTTTTCTTCAGTACTGGCTTCAGTGCCACACACACACAGAGAAAAAGTTTCATCTGATGAGTGATAACCAACAGAGTTTTGCAAGTCCTTAGGCTAGCAAGAACGGGGACGGGGAAGAATAAGAAAGAACTTCAATTTCATAGTACCTGCATGAAGCCATATTTGAGCCAGAGTCATCCAAGGATGCAGGGGACCTTGTTTAGGGGCACTGCTTTGCAAAGATGAAGCAACCTCAGACAGTGCTTGCTCCACTCTGGAAGCTGCTATTGATGTGGCATGGACTGAACCTGAAGAAATAATAAAAAAAGATTACCATCACAGAAAGAATAAAGGCCATACATAAAACATTTAATTGTAATCCTGTTCATAAGAGTATATAAAAACCACACTGAACATTGGTAACTATACCTGACACATTTTTGGGTTGCTACTATGAATACTCTCTGTTAAACTTGACACCTCTTTTCTGGCAAAGTATGATCCAAAAAAAGGTTTGTGATGTTATCGTACACTGTAATCTTCAGGTTGCTGCATGCAGTTTGATGTTAGTAATTGCCACGTCCTTCCATAGAGTACAATTAGAGAACTATTTTAAGACTAATAACAGTACAAAAAGAGAGAACTAAAATATACGATGTGATCACAACATACCCCATCACACATACACAATTAAACTGCACTGAATGTAAACCTTAGCTAATCAAGAAGGCTGAGTTAAAATGCCTGTGGCAAAAAAGTCCCTTGCATAAAGAACACTCCCAAGGGATACTATGTAAAGGAGAATTCTTGTAAAATGAAGCATTTACAAGTGAGATTACAATCTCATTGGCAAATACTACCCTTTTCAAAGTACTGGAATTGAAAAAACTTCTTTAACTGCAGAATATCTAATGGCAACTTTGGACAGCCATTTACTCATGATTTTTTTTTTTAAATCAAGACCATGAATATTTTAACCTACACTCCTTCCTGTCATCTAAGCTTCAACTTATCTCTAGTTGTTTTATAATTATAAATTACAAAATCTCACACTGACTGGGCCTGGTTAATAAATAATGGAAGTGAAATATTCCATATTGGATCAGATGAGAAGTCTTCCAAGCCCGTCAGCATATCTGTAATGATCAAAAATGGCAGGCAACCTGAAATAAAGTACTGAATCCTGTACAGGTTGAACTGCACCCCACAAGCTCATCCTCATCACTAACAGTTAAGAAATAAATGAGACCTTCACTCTCAATATCACAGGTTTTCTAAGAATTTTAACAGGAAGGGATTTCCCACATAAAACCTACATTCTTAAGTGTGACAAGATAAGTCAGCACACTAGAAAAGTAAAATAAAGTCCCAGTACACAGATCACTGGGAAGAAGCAGTTTGTGTGAAAGTGTGCATCATGTTTCCCTTAACCAACAGAAACAAGAGAAAAGCAGCACTGGACATAATTAGCGTGTCGTATGTCATTATGAATAAGGAATTGCCCTGAAGATCTGAAACAGTATCTGCCCCTGGAATTTGCTCTCCTCTACTTGCTGATGAAACAACTCCAACTCCAGCCTGCAGAGCTGAACATTCACTATAAAGTTTTTGTGTGTCTTGTCTTTAAGGCTTAACTTCTGAAGAAATATAAAAAGGAAGTTAAGCAAGAAGCATATGGGGAGTATATTCTAAGAAAAATACCAGCAAAGGTAGCATAAATACACACTAGTCACCAGTAATCCTCTTCCCGTCTGACATCCCTTTCTGTAAATGCACGTCACTGCAGCCTGTCACTCATTAGCTTCCCAGGGACTAATAGTGAAAGTCTCTCCTCATGTCTCCAGAAGAATTTGTAAATAAAAGGTGTGATTCACTGACACAAAGGATATAATCTAATCCCTTCCTTCTGAAAAGCAAGTATTCCGTTTAGTATTAAAAATAACCTGTATCTTCTATTACACAAAGGACTCTGGCTGCTTGCCAGACCGCAAGTAATTTCATATAGAAAGTGTGCTGTTAGATTTTAAGCCTCTAGTACTCAAAGCACATATGGTAATATATTATTAAAATTTTTTGTACATTCATTTCTATATAAAAAAGAACTATAGTGTGATAAAATTCTTATGAGTTGCAGTGCCACCTATATTGAAGGTAGAATGGAGTAGAAAACAAGTGCTTCCTATGGTAATTAACTCCTACCCTGGACTTAATTCTGAATATCAGAAAAAAGAAAAAGACTTAAAAAAAATCTTTCTAGAACTCTTTTTTGAAGTGTTATTATTCAAATTGCTTACATTTCCTGTTGAGGAAAAAGGGTGATAGTCTTCAGGTGTCCTTACTTCAATCAAACTACTAGAAAGTACATACCTCCTATCTTTCACTAAATTAATACGCCTGATATTAAAATGTATTCTAAATTAATATTAAATATTAACAATCTAAAATTCAATGTTGATCAAGTAACTTAACTGCTTTAGAAACTCAGACTGCAGATTATTCAACATAATCAACTAAATTTAAGCTGCCTCTAGACAACATCCCAAGTAAGTGGGTTCTTGGGGTTTAAGTTTGAAGATCAATGTTAAGCAGAACACTAAGAAACTTGGTGTAATCTTCTGCAGGGCTGTTTGGAAATCCCAGCCTTTGAAATCCTTAATGCTTCAGTCTTACTTAAAATGTAGAGAATTTAAGTATGTTGCAAAACAGCACAAATAACTGGGCTTTTTTGTTTGGTTTTGTTTCTTGAAAAGCCCTCCTTGCAGTGGCTGTTAAGGGAGCTACCAAGCCCAGGGCTATACAGTTTCCCAGAGGAGGAGGGATGAGCTCTAGTACAGCCTTGCATATCTAACCAGCACAGCCATTGCATATTTTAATCACACTTTTACATCTTTGCTATTACCTTTTTCCTTTCTTAACCCCCCACCCCGTAACAGTAGTCTTTTGACACTGCCCAGTCAGGCACTTTTCAGGTACATTGCACTCATGCTGACAGCTCTAAGTCATAAATCCCTAAATGCTTCTTCAGTATTGCCACAACTAGCCATCATCTGACTCATTTCTGCCTCCTTCTGTTAAAACACAATTACTAAGCTTTCATTTTGCAGACAACTAAAACCCATTTAAAGATCTTGTGTACTAAAAAGCTTTTTCTGACCTTTCTCCAAATTTTATTCAATCCTTTTCTTACTAGAACTAACTTACCTGAACTATTTGTTCCTTGTTCTAACCCAGGGTTCCCCAGATTCAGATCTTTATAGTCACATTACAATTGTAAAACATATAGTAATTTCAAGTACAACTGGTAAAGATACATAGTGGTTTGTGAGGAACAGAGGGTAAAGAGTGGATCTTAAAGTCTGCTTAGGGCCACACAGACCCTATGCAGCCACTCATTTGCTGGCTCCCTGTTGGTTCTGTCATAAGCTCCGCTCTCTCTTCCCAGCCTTATCTGTATTTTTCTTTCTTTGGTCTGAGTTCAGTACCCTCAGCCAAACACAAACATATCCTCGCTTTCAGTGTTACAATTCACTCAGTTGTAGCCTCCTCCAAATGCTCAGATAGAGTAGCAGTAATTTCTAGTTTAAAATTTTACCATATCTTTCATACACACAGATATCTTTGCTCCTCCAAGATAACTTCTAGACCTGCTGTTACAGTGTGATACTTAAGAATGAAGAAAACATTTCCTCAAAATACCACAAGCAGCAAAGCATATTTATTTTTAAATATAAAAGCATGAGGTCTGGAAAAGTAATATGTCACCAAAATGGATCCTGGCTACTCATCTTCATTTGTTTAATTTTGTTCTGAAGCTTGCTTATACTAAAAGGGCCAAGAGCAAAATAGGGACCGTCTTTGCAAGATCTAGAATTCACTACTTAAACTACTTCTTGATTAACACCTGGAATCACAAACACACTGCAAACACTAATGTGACAGAAGGTCTTAATCATAACAAAATATTTCTAAACCAAAAAGGTATAACTGCCACTCAAGTTTCCTCTAATGACATTTCTCCAGAATTTACAAGAGTTTCTACTCACCATACTAACATAGCATCTGCAACAACCTATGGTTATGTCAACGTTTCAATTCAATCTCAAACAGAAAACCTACTAACAGCCTTGTACAAACACAACTTAACCAAGAAGTTACCTCACAGAAACCTCTCTTTTTTACAAGTCACACCTGCAGTTCAACTTCTGTGAAAAACAAAGTGTTCAATTTACTCTCTTCAGGCTTTTCTTAAGATAAACGTTACAGGAGACTCTGCATGAAACCCATCTTTCAATACCATTTGTAAGTCACCCTATGTAAATAAGTGCGCCATGACTTCTTCAGTTCTTTCTTTGGTCACTTCCCAATAAATTCTTAACAAAGAAGCCTAATGGACATGACCTAGGAAATGGACTCTATCAGCACGTAGTTGGCAAGCAGGCTTAGAGAAAAACAAAATCCCTTTGCTATGTTCATCAAATTTTCCTTCTGAAAACAGATAAAAGAATAGACTGTCACCCTTCATGAAACATGTTCATATCAACTGACAAAAATTTTTTTAGGATTTCTTTTTAGATCATAAAAGAGTATGTTACTAAACAGTTTTACATCCATCATGTTTTCAATCAATGTTTCAACACATACATAAAGAAAAAATGCTTTAACAGCAATGCTCATGCAGGAGAAAAGCGGAAAAACCTGTGATTTTGAACTTACATGCACACAAGGCTGGCAGTAAGAACATTAGTGGTGTGACATACAGAGAACTCTGTGCTAAAAAAAGCAATCACATGATACAAAGAGGCAGTACCTTCTGCAGGACTAACACATCACTGAAGTGATGCATTTGATAAGACTGATTGGCAGGTTTAGCAAAAATTAAGTTTTTCCTACAAAATCCATTAAGTGTCTGAGACACCTTTCACAATCACAAAGCTAGCTTATCTTTTGGTACAAAGTTACACGTGAAGATATTAGTAGTCAGGTATGGACAGCATCATTTACAAAGCATCCTCTTAGCTCTTTGACAAAGATTTTCTGTGTTTAGTCATTGTCAAACATGCTGTTTTAAGTATCTTCCTACTCTTCTCTCCTCCACCAAACTGGTCTCCTGTACTACTTCATAAAAATCTATGAAAAAGTAAAGTAATGAATGAAAAAAAATCCCATCATCTACTATTCAAGACTAAACATACAGCTTTTGAAGTAACTAGTTAGAGAAAAAGAACGCCATTTCACATCCTTGTTAAAGCAGCAGTTACTTTTATTGATCTGTATTCTTCATTCTCTCTTATTTAGCTTGTTTTCATAA